ATGCATTTTCCCAGATGATGCATAGTGATATCGCAATTAAGATGAATATCAGTAAAATTCCTTTAACTAGGCGTAACTGCTGAAAGATATCGGGAGTTACACAACAAGACTGAAAAGCTATATAAAAACCTGGGGTTTACTATTAGTTGTTTTTTTTTGCATGGATAGATACAAAATCAAGACCAAAAGAAAAGAAATGTTGAGTAAAACACTGGATCTGAGTAGGTGATAAGTACCTTAGTCAGTCACAAGAAAATAATCAAAAGTATATATAGATAAGTTCCTTAGATGGTTAGGAAAAAGTAGAATATCCTAGAAGAGTTGACTCCTAATAAGAAGAGGTTTTTAGCATAGGTCCTTTGAAAGACATGAAATATTTTAATTTTCTTTTTTTTTTTTTTCATTTTCATATAGTGCATTTGTATATTTTTAGATATATCTCTTTTCTTTTCTTTTTCCTTTTTTCTTTTGTAGTTTTTCGAATTCAATTCCTTGGAGGATAATAAGCATTAACAATCTGTTGACAATAATGGGTAAGTTAGAAGGGTCTTCATTCAAAACTTGGTTCAGAACAAAATATTGTTCCCAAGGTTGCACTTAGAGACTGAAACTCTTTTGAGAATTGAAAGCCATTGACGAGTATGTCAGTACGAGTCTTTTAGTTTAGCCATGATGCAATTGCCCTATGTACTGTATTTCTATCAGTTTTCTTAATAATTAATAAACACATAGTACTGGCCTAACCATAAGTTTAAAAAAAAAAAATAAGCTAAGTTTTAAAATCTTTATTCTTCTAATTTAATCTAATACTATATTTAAATAAAGATCAATTCAATATTATAGATAATAATAAAAAGGATAATACAGTATATACATATACTGTATATATATGGTTACTTTCAAAAATTTGAGTTTACTTACTATGTTTTTATTATAAATATAAACTTTGATAATTTTTAAATCATTAATAATACAGTCAAAAATTATAAAATTTATATATATTTTGTCTTAATACTTGTTTTATTTCTTATATTTTTTAAAAAATAAATATATTTTAAAGTTTTATTATTATTAAACATTTTTATTTTTTTATTAATTATTATATATTTTACAATAACAGCCAATCAAAATTCTTCAAAAGTAAAAATTTGATAAAGAAATAAATTTTTCAATATAGTAATAATAAAACTTTAAAAATTATATAAAAAAAATTTTTTTTTTAAATGCTAGCTCATTCTTGTGTTGAGGTAAGTAGGATTTATTTGAATAAACAAAAGACCTAGGGACAATTGAAATGAATAACTACCCATACTGTCTAAAGATTTACAGATTAATAAATAATACAAAGAACTATTTATTTATGTCTTATCTAACCAGAATAAGATAATTATATAACCATCTAATGTCGATATCTACTTACAAAAACAAACCAAGAAGTATGAAAGTCACACTATGTTAATTTTTTATTCTACACCTTGACACTCCCTAGAGTGTGACTATTGGCTAACTCATCAAGTGGTTTATTGCTATTCCAAAAAGAGGGGACTAATATGTCAAGAATTCATCTGGGGTACCCAGCACCACTGATGTTGATAACTACCTATGTGGAGCCTTAACTTTACTAACACTTAATCAAAAATTTTTAAAAAGAAAAAAGGGTTGTGTTCAAGTCAAGTCTTTTTTGGAGAAACATAATATTGTTTAGTTGGTCATTATAAATGGTTTCAATGTATGGATGGAAGTATCAAAACCCTTCAAAAAAATACTAACCCTGAGTGTGATAGTTGTGTTCACTAGAGAAGGAATGAGAGAATCAAGTGGTTGTTTATCCAAGATAGCTTAATCCAGCTTTGTTCTTTCTAAGTAACCAATGACATCATGGTTTTTATGTCCTGTATCCATCTTTGTGACTGGCATGCAACTTATGGTGGACTCCAGGTTCTTATAGATACTGAGAAAATGTATTCAGACACATGAGGTAACCAATGGGAGCTTGTTTATATTCTTTTTACTGACATGTTTTCTGCTAGCCAATTATTGTATAAGAAACTTTGTGCTACTCAAAATTCAAGATCAAACTGAGGTAGGCAAAATCCCTCAAAAAAACTGAGAAAGAATATTTTTAGAGTCAAAGCATGACAAGAGAGTAGGTGAATGCTTTCAAGATAAGTATCTCATTATTTGAAAAGCTCTGTATTGTTTCTCTAATAGATAAATAAATAGCAATACTACAGTTCTTTTTCCTTTCAAAACTTTTTTGTCATTGGTAGAAAAGGTGTTTCATAACTTTGATCATTGAAATTCATGTTTTTATCTGAAGAAGATTGTTTACAAGAGGGAGAAAGAAGTGAGTATGACTCCTGAAGTTGTTACTTCAGGTTGGTTTAAGGAAAATGATAAGACTTTATTAGTCAAGAAGTAGAAAAACTTATTGTGAACATCTTTTTTGAGTGTGATTAGAGGATCAGTCGAAAGAGTTTATCAATAGATTAAAAAAAATATATATATACAGTATATAATAAATAAAACTAATATTAAGATATAATATATATAAATTTTATAATTTTTGATTGTATAATTAAGGATTTAAAAATTATCAAAGTTGAAATTTATAATAAAAATATAACAAGTGGACTTAAACTTTTGAAAGCAACTGTATATATAGTATATTTAACCTATAACTATATTATATTATAAAAAAAAAAATAATAAACTTTTTTTACTAATTCTCTAATTATATATAAAAAAGATATTCACAAGAAGTTTTATACTTTTTAATTAATAAAGTTTTCTTACTTTTTTTAAAACAATTTAAAACTTATTTTCAAAAATTACTATTACTTTCTTTTACTTGTTTACAAATTTTTTTAAATAAAAATTTGAATTTCTGATAATCTAAATAGATTCAAATATGATTTTTTCTACTAAAGACAAGAAAATTTAAAAGGTAAAAAGATTAACTTGTAAAATGTTACTTTTTAATATTAGAAATAACATGCAGATAGAGATTTTCTATGTAAAGAAAGGCTTATTATCCATCTTTTTATATATTATTTTTTGCTCTCTTAAAATATCCATAGTTTTTTATAGTTTTTTAAAAAAATTTTATTTATCTTAGCTTGACTTTAAATTTTTGATAATATAACATCATCGGGTTTCTGATTGATTGAATGAAATATATTGATAACAAAATATAAATAAATTCCATTAATTATATTTATATGTTTTGATAAAGTTATTGATAAAAAAAATAAAAAATTATTGATATAAACTTCTCTATTTATTCAAATAAAAGATAACCAAAGCAAAGAAACTATAAAACCTTAGAATGAATATTAAATTCCCTAAGTGATGAAAAAGAGATTATTTGTTCAAGTCAAGCCCTTCAACTTTTAATTATTTTGATCAGTCAAAGTATGTAAAGAAAATTATTTTCTTATTCTGATTAGATTGTAAGATTGAAAAACAGAAGATTGTGAGTTACTACTTTTTTTTAGAATTAAGAATATATTTTCTTAAATATTATTTAATGATATTATAATTGATAAGAATCCTTATTATTATTATTGAAATCTTCTTATCATTTTAAAACAAAAAAATATTAAGAAATTTGACTTTTTGAATAATGGAAGATATTTATCAATAAAATTCCTTTAACTGAATATAACTGCTAGAAAATATCAGGAATTATATAATATAACTAAAAGGTTACATAAGAACTTGAGATCTATTATAAGTTATTGACTTGCATAGATAAATAAGTTTTATAAGAAAAGATAATTTCTTACTCAAGTAACTAAATTAATAAAAGATATGAAAATAACTTTTTTATAGTTGAAAATAATAAGAAATACAAAATCAAAACTGAAAGAAAGAAAGTGTCAAGTAAAACACCAAATTTGATTTTAAAGTTAATAAATTAAATACTAAAAAATTTAAAGGTTAAAAACTTAACAGTTGATATTTTAAAAATCAAAAATTTAGAAATTAATAATTTTTTTTTTAAAGACATTAATAGATAGATTATTCAAGTCCTAATAAAATCCTTATTTTAATTGATAGTAATACTTGTGTGTTATCTCAATCATTATACAATCACATAAAGAAAAATGCTTGATAACAATCTTAGAAACTTTATACTTTTAATGAATTTATTAGATTTGAATAAAAAAGTCTAGTTATAGTATATACAGTATATATTGCTTGAATAAATTTAATTATACTTATAATAAGTATTCAATTGATTAATAAACTATAGTTTAATTAAAAAAAAAAAAAAAAATTCAAAAATTCCATTTTTACATTGTTTAATCAAATTCGAAATAATTAAAACCAATCAAATATGTACTGTATACAGTATATTAAAATCCGTTAACTAATATATACGATATGGTATTTCCATCTTTTTAATAAATATTTATATTGAACAATAAAATTTTAAAATTTATTTTCAATATAAATCAGTTGTTAATAAATAAATAATAAAAAACTATTGCAGTATATAAAATAAACTTTCGAAATAAATTAATTTTTTTAAAAAATAGCGTTTTCACATCTATTTCAGTCCTCGAAATAGCGACTAGCGTTTTCATCATTTAGCCGTACAAATTTAGATTACATATTATTCAAGTGTTTTTAAAGAAAGAACAGTGATAATCTAAAGGATCTCATTTTTTGGAATTAAATTTAAAAAAAAGATTAAATCATAGATTTTTCTGGTTCCAATATATCTTTATTACCTATCACAGTTCCCGAAGTTTTCACATACTTAGCAACCAATTAATTGTGTGCACCACTAATTAACAATGTGATAGCAAGTCGGACTTCTATAGATAGTGAGTGATCAACCGTCGTTTTGTGGATCACGTTTTCCTTTCCAGCTTAGACAACTGCGGTTCAACCAAATTATTTTACATTTCCAATTACAGATGCAATTAAGTCGAAACTAGATTTTATAATTGAAAGAAACTAGATATTGTTTGTTTCTTGTCGGTATCGAACTAATGGGCGGCTTCGGGATGGACAACATCTTTATGTCGCTTAAGATCGTTTGGGAATCTAAAAAGCTATGAAGTAGAAAAAAAAATGGTAAAATACACGCATATTCTACGCTTAACAATTAAGTAATTTTTTACCTTGCCACAACAAAGGAATGACTCGTGGGTAGGCGTTTGATTAAGATGGTTTTCTAAATCTGGAAGGGTATTAAACCTCATATTACAATAACCGCATCGAACTTCTTCCAACATCTTCTGGAGCCAGTAATTGATTCGAACATCTCTGCTTTTATGTTTGGCCAAGAGTTCAGTGAGATTGATGTTCAACCTTCGATTCATAAAAACCACACCACCCGCTTGATTCTCCCGGTTTTCTTGAGGTTTTTTATTTTTACCTCCAGCTTTATCAAAGCAAATGCGATTAGTTGTAACCAAAATTATCGTTGTGAAATGTAATCCCGTGCAATGATTACCTTTATTACCAGGACGATCAGCGGGAGCTTGCCGTTGCTGCTCTTTCTGTAATTGTTGACGCCGTTGTTGTTCCTCCTGCAATTGTTGTCGCCGTTGTTGTTCCTCCTGTAATCGTTGTCGCCGTTGTAGTAATAGTTGTCGCCGTTGTTGGTCCTGTAAATGTTGCCGCCGAGTACGCTCCTGAAATAATGTTTAGAGAGGTGTAAGGGTAAATATAATCATGGTAAGACCTATTTATAATGAACTTGCCTCTAATAACATCATCTCGTCCCATAACTCGCACCCGCCATCGCAACGCTTTGATTCTTTATTCCAGAGTCGACCGCAAATGTAACAACTTATTTTTTTTTTTAAAAAAAAAAAAAAGAAAGAAAAAAACCAATTAATTAAAACAATAATAATAAATTTCACTCAACCCCCTTAAAATATGAAGGAAGAAAAAAAAAAAAAACGTACAATTCCGTTTTGCATCTACAAGTGATATGATTGCACCCAGTATCCAATTGAACAATTATTTTACAGTTGGGGCATCGTTTCCACTTTTCACTTTGAGCCAATTTAAACACCTCGCGATCTTCTTGTGACCGTTCACTTTCAGGAAGTTCCCGGTATTGACTACAGGTCATACCTGAATTAACGCGCAAAAGTCAATGAGTCATCCTTATCACACACATGTCACGTGAATGAAACTTACCCTGGTGCCAAATGTCACGACACTGGAGACAGAATTTGTGATGGCAAATCGGACATTGCACCGGGCGCTGGGGCGAGAATTCTTCAGGGTCGTGGTCAAAGAGTGCGCTACACCTTTTATTCGGACAATAGACCTAAGTATTAAAAAAAAAAAAAAAAATGGTGCAGTTGCTTATTATTTGTTGAGGTTCCAGGTTCTATCATCATCACGAATTATTTTATTTGGTGATACCTTATTTTTTATTGTAGATGCAGCCATTTTTAGATACCAATTCTCCATTTCTTCACCTGTCAGCGCCTTTTCTGCAATATTTTCCGAAATTTCCGCCGTTTCACACTTTAAAGGACATTTAATAGGAAATGATACAGACTCTTCTCGGAGCATTATGGTTAAGTAATTTTTCACACAAGATAGACAAAAACCGTGCTTGCATCGCAAAATAACGCCCAGATTCGCACTACTCGTTGCCATTTTATTCATGTCTCCACTTATATCAAATGTAGAAAAATCCTCAAAACATGTTTGACAGTTGTGACGCGCCGAGAACAATCCACGACTTTGAATTTTCGTCGGGGGTTCATCCTCACTCTCGGTTTGGACGACTTTTCCTTTCCCTTTACCCACATATTCCGTTCCGGCAGCATCGTGCGAGATCTCGATCTTATCAAACCTGCGTTTTAAGGACTTGGCGCACACGAATAATGATTGACAAGATGAATGAGGTCGACTGCGAGCAATGACGAAAACTGTTCTGCAATTAACTAAATCCCTACCGATGTGAAGGGTTCCAAACTATCGTCTTCACTCTTCCTTTTCTTGCCCTAAGTGAATTCGAAATCTGCGTTTAGAAGACGTGTGATTTTAACATAATTCATAATTTCTCTGACGAAGGCTAACCGCTTCTCTACCGGCTCCGTCACTGGAATCCGTTTCCGTCGTGTCAATGCTAACATTCTTAAAAATTTGATCAATGTCACTGTCACATTTTTGGAGTTTAGCCGTGATCTTAAAAAAAAAGAATATTTAATTAACTGATTCGAAACAAAATGATTCTCACGAATCATGTCATTCCGTTACCTTTAGATTCATTTGTTCTAGTCTCTCAATCCTATTAAATATTTCCGAGGCGTACGTATCCGTGAGAGAAGGCGTTCCATTTATTATTGAATTTAGTTTGCTAGCTTCAACCACTTCCCAAAGCTAAAGATATGTTTTTTTCAGTAAATAACAAAGAAAAACGTTGGGAGACCAAGTGGGCCATTATTTCGCTGGCTAAAAGATTACCTGTAACTCTTCTGCGTACTCCAAATCTCTCTAACAAGGAACACGAAAAAAGTTACGCGTCTGCATTTGAAAAATGAGTTTTAATGTAAAAGCGCGTGAAGACAAACCTCACAAAAAGACGTTGCCATCATGTGTACAAAATCATAGAGTTTAAAGTTAGTATCGCGGTGTTCAGATTTTTGCTTATATTTGAATGTGGTTACACAGACACGTATAATCATTGGTCGATCAAAGAGTAAATATTGAAAAAAAATTTTTTTTTCTTTTAATATATACAGTATATTAAATAGTGATGATGAAATGGGCAAACTGAAAGAGAAAGGAAAATCTGGTGCAGCCACAAATTATATAACAAGAAATCAAGCCTTAAAGAAGCTTCAACTTACACTAGCGGATTTTAGGCAAGTAAGCTTTGCGTGCTCGTTCGTACAAAGAAGCTGTTCAAATAATAATTATACTTTCGCGATCCTCGAATCTAGGAGGATATGTATACTCAAAGGGATCTATCCTAGGGAACCTCGAAACAAGAAAAAGGCCAATAAAGGTTCGACCGCTCCCGCCACCTTCTATTACACCAAAGATATACAATACCTTGCGCACGAACCTGTTCTACATAAATTTAGGGAGCATAAGGTATTCTTGAGAAAATTATGCAAAGCCCTAGGAAAACGCCAGTTAAGCATTGCGAAAAACTTGGAGAGAAACAAGCCCATTTACACTTTAGATCACATAGTAAAGGAAAGGTGAATGAGAGTAAAAAAAAAAAAAATTCGTCCTTCACAGTTCTCGCGAAACTTCGTTTAACGACAGAATTGATTTCAGATATCCCACTTTCACAGATGCTTTAAGAGATCTTGAAGACGCATTGTCTATGCTGTTTTTATTTTCTACATTTCCGTCAACAGACAAGGTAAAGACTGAGACCGTGGCGAACTGTCAACGATTATCCATGGAATTTCAACAATATGTCGTGCACACAAGAAGCCTGCGTAAAGTTTTCCTATCCATAAAAGGTATCTATTATCAAGTGGAAATTAGGGGTCAAGTTATAACTTGGTTGGCTCCATATCAATTCAGTCAGCGGGTAAATGTATCAAGCTAGCTAGCTAGTTTGTATGCTAAGTTGTTCCTTTCACATTCATATAATCGACATGCTCACAGGGTGATTCATTGTGTCAACAGGTTCCCGATGACGTTGATTTTCGTGTGATGCTCACATTCTTGGAATTCTATCAGACCCTCGTTGGATTTGTGAACTTCAAATTATTCACCGACGAAAATTTGACCTACCCTCCGAAGTTTGATGCACTGAAAGACGAAGGTTCAGGGGGACTAAATGCTCTTATCATAGAAACCAAGAATGTCTCTGCATCCTTAGCAATGAATTCTCTTGGATCCGAGGATAAAGAGCAATTGAATTTGATGAATCGCAATGAAAAGGTGAGTAGACCGTGGGAGTCTTGGTTTCCAAAGTGAAACTCACCCATAAATATATAATCGAAAGGTCCAAAAATTGAAATCAGAAGAACGTTTAAAGACATTATCCGAAAAGTTGGACACCATAAAAGAGAAAGAGGTCGAAGATCATGCGGAGGATTTGGAAGCCGATGTAAGTGCGGATTTGATGGACGATTTCACCGAGCAAACCTCTACGCAGCACATGTTCCAGGATCAAATGTCTGTTTATCGAGATATTCAGTCGGCTTCGATCGCCCTTTCTGAATTTGAGCAACTCTTTTCAAGGTGCATTATTTACCTATCTCGTGAGGTTCCAAGGTATTCACTGGAGTTTGTCATTCGTGCGTTCGGCGGTCAGGTCGGTTGGGATGATACCGTCGGGGTGGGATCCCCATTCAAAGAGAACGATGATCGAATCACTCATCACATCACAGATCGTTCAATGCCGCGGGAATTGATTTTGACTCGTGCTTACGTTCAGCCACAATGGGTTTACGATTGTGTCAATGCTAGAAAATTACTAAGAACGAAACAATATCAACCTGACAAAGTTTTGCCGGCGCATCTCTCACCATTCGTCGAATATAAGGATGGCGATTATTTACCTGAAGGAATTGATGATGGGTTCGAAGGGACCGTGGAAGAAATTGAGATGCCAACCTCGCAACAAAAAATTCAAGATGATCGAAAAGATGAAGGTGATGGTGAAAACGAAGATGAAAGCGAGGAGTCTGAAACTGATCTCCCCAACAACGACGTTGACGATGAGGTAACTTTACCACACACTTAGAATTTAAATGAACAAAGTGATCACTAACAATCATCTCAAACAAACACATAGTCCGAGACTGAAGAATTGATTCACCAGAAGGAGCTTGAAGCAGAAACAATTGGTATACCATTCTCTAAATATCAAGAAAATCGTGAACGAACCGAAAAACAAAAAAAGAATACCATCACCAGCGAACGTGAAATTTCCTCTCACACTCTGGCCGGAAAGAAACGCGGTGCCAAGGAAATTGAAGAGGAGGAGAACAAAGAATTGGCAAAGATAATGATGCCAAAGAAGCAGAAAAAACTCTACAAGAAAATGCAGTATGGAAAGAAAAGGCAAGAGGAAAAGGTCTTAAATTTAAAACGGAAGAAAGAGATCATAGAACAGAAGAAAAGAAGTGGTGTCATCAACCCGAAGAAAGGACAAGAGAAAAAGCGATAGAACCTTTTTTTTTTATTGACGATCATATGATCTTTAGAATATGCTTTTTTTTTTTTTTTGTTTTATTAATACAGTTTATGCTGAACTACCAAAAAAAAAAAAAAAAAAAAATTGAGAACACGCACAGTGTACATCATTCTTAGCAATAAAATTAATTAATTTTTTTGTATACACAGAAGATGGTGTACGATCTCGGCTTAATATTAAGTAAGTAATAATCTTCAATGTTCATAAGGATTTTACACGAAACAGACCACTGTGATGTTGTGCTCACAATTAATGAGATGTATATAGGATAAATGGTGGATATAATGAAAACATTATTATTGAGGGATTTCAGAGAAGCTCATCGTTTTTTAGTCGAACTGAACTCAACATCATTTGCTCTTTTGAGGGTGTTTTCTATTATCAGACATTTGTGCCTTGGTGAGGTGATGTAAAATGAAAAACGAGAAGAGAAGAAAATCATAAATTTTCAATATGAATTACCACCTCCAATAGCCGGAGATTTTGTGTGAAGTTTGTGGTGCGGTGACCCGATAGCACCATTTACCGCTAACGGTGATGGTGTTGACTTGGGAGTTGGTGTAGGTGTATGTATCGGAGTAGGTGTCCTAACCGGGGTCGTCGACGATGTCTGCAAGTCATTAGCATTAGGAGTTGGCGGTGCACCGCTAAAATTTGATGTGTCGTTTTTAATATCATTTTTTGGTGAATTTAACATCCCTAGTGAATGATTGACCATGTGTGCCATATTTTGATTCAAATTTTGGGATGAAAGGATCCGTAATGCCTCTATTTTAGAAAAGTACCAAAAATTATGTAAGAATGGTTTTTCTTCGGATTAAAATCTAAACCATAAAAGAATCCACGTGTTACCCTGTGGTCCCGAGTTTGGGTAGTCAATGGTATACGCAAAAACTTCTTGCATGAGATCTAAACCTTCACCAATCTGATAAGGTAACAAATGGGTGATGGCATAAGTTGAAATGTTTTTTATCTAATGTGTATTACATGATATACCTCTAAGAACCGCATTGTCTTTTGCGGAACGCCATATTCATTTATGAGAACATTTGGGGAGTTTGAGAACTCGCTAAAACGTAGCCTTGGAACGTACTCTGTATAATTTGTTGATTCAAACTCAAAGCGTGTGATTTTCAAATTGGCGAAAGCGACATTCAAACGTCCCGTTGTGACGACCTTCATTAAATATCCTTGAATTCATTAGAACCATAAAGGATGACATGATATTTAATGAAACCTTTACCTGCATTCCATTTTCATAATGGTATACTATTGAGGCTGATTTGCACTCTACATATCCTATTGTTATTCCATTATTGTGGCGAGCGATTTCATTAACGGTCTCCAGTATCAGCTGTATTCTCGTCACTCCAGATTCATAAAATGTTTGATAAAACCTAGGTATAAGTTGGTATTTTATTTCTATAAAATACATTGAAATCTTTAATGTAAAGTTATTTGGTCTTGACTATCAAAACTAAACACATTCATACCGAATTTTCTTGGTTCTTTGATGTAGCTCATTAAAGTATAAATCATTGATGTATCCTCGACAAAGAATTGTCTTGTAAAATCCGTCCAGTACATGATGTCCTTTTTTGTCCTAATCTACAAAATGAATTTTAATAGGTTTAGGAGAGACCGATGAATGCGAACAAATTTTAGGGTTTCCACAAGGGTCAAAAGAATAACTCACCTGATTTTGAGTGTCGCCCCCTAAATAATCCGCCAAATGTAGAAGCCTCATCCTACATGAGCCTACTTGATATTGTCTAAGAGAGTGCGGATATTTAATAATTCGATGGCATTATAGGACTATGAGTATGACTGTTAAACGATCTCGGTTGAAATAGCAATCTCACGGATCCCCCGCAAATAAAAATTGACACTGAAAAAAAAAAATTGTGAGACTAGGACTTACTTATATATGGCTGGATGGTTTGGCAACACCCTCATTTGTATAGGCATTACGTTTCCTTGGGTATTACCTACTGGCAATACGTATGAAGCATTATTGATGTTCACATTTTGCACTAATCCATTTGGCGCCATAGCAAGATTTGGTATGTGTGCTGGTCCTGCTATAACTCTCGATCCATTCGGAAAGTTTCCGTATACGTGGGGAACGCGAATTGTTCCAGGTATAAAGCCTACTGGGTTCAAATTAGCCATGGTTATCGCTTTCTGAGAAACTAAATTGTGAAATTTGTAATGTAATAATTAGATTTTCGGGATTTCGGAAGTGCAAATGGGAACCACTGGAAATTTTTCGTATTAATGATGTACGCAATCCGAGCCACATTTGCTTAGTAATGAATGAACATACTAATATGACACTGAAATCCCGTTCACGTGACAATTAATTGGCTCAACAAAAAAAATAGTCTTTATCTATAATAAAACAAAATACTTTTAAGTTTTAATCTTAAAATAAATTTTAAATAAAAATCTTTTCATTTCATTTATTATTGTTGGTAGGTTAGTATTGCAAATTATTTTTTCAAGTTAATGGAATATAAGAAGTTACAAAAAAAAAAGAAAATATTTAAAAATATAAAATAATTTTCCAATGAATAATTGCTTATATAAAAATATATACTATATACTCTTTTTCAATATTGACTTTTATCTCATACAATATATTACTTAAAATACTTAATATTAAGAATTATAATCAATTAAATTATATTAAATTATTTAATAGTAGAATTTGATTATATTTATTAATAAAAATATTTTTTGATTAATATATAAAATATTAATAATACTTTAATAAAGAATTAATAAAATTAAATTTGATAATAAATTAGTAAAAAATATATATTACACTATATATTTTAATAAATTTAATAAAAATTTTATATATTATAATAATAAATTTAATAAAATATTTATATACTGTATATTATAATAATAAATTAAGCAAAAAATTTATAAATTGTAATAATAAATTTAATAAAAATTTTATAAATTTGATATATAATTATAAAAAATTTATATAAACATAACAATAAATCAATAAAATTTTATAAAATTAATTTTAAAATTTGATAAAATAATAATAAAATTTCATATTTATTTAATAAATTAATAAATTTTAATAAATTTTATAAAATTTATTACAAAAAACACAATTATTTGATTATTGCTTTTTTTTTTTTTGAATTTATTCTTTAAGTTTTATTTTATTAAATTTTATTTTAATTTTTATATTTTATATTTTAAATTTTTAATTATTTTTTAAATTTTATTTATTTATATTTATTTTTTAATTTAATTTATTTATTTTTTAAATATATTAATAATTTTTTATATTCAATAATTTTTTATTTTTTATTGTTAATTGTTTTTTTTTTGACTTTTTTTATATTTATTATATTCCAAAAATATTTTTAAACTATACATTAATCAAAAAATATTTATTTGATAATAATATCACTTATATAATATTCATAAAAAAAGAAATATTTTAATAAATTAATGACTTAAATAAATTATTAATCAATTTTTACAATATAATTTAATATTATTTATTATATATAGTAATTTAATATGAATAAATTGTTATTATTTCTATTATATATTTTATCTAAAATTTTTTTAAAAATTATTATTTTTTATTTTAATATTTGCTAAAATTTATATATTTATTAAATTTTGATTATATATTATACTTATTATTTAAAGAAACTATAATTAAATATTTATAAAAATTTGTCAATTTAAGATTTTATATATAAATAGAATAAATTAATTAAAAATATTATAAATAAAGATTATATATTTACATCTAACTAAGTAAAATTTAATATTTTACAATCAATATTTGTATTATTTTTCAATTTAAAATAAAATTTATTTTCTATCAAATTAACAAATTTGTATTATCAAATAAATATTAATCAATATTTAATAATATTATTTATTGTATAAATAAAAAATCTCTTTCTACAGATTCTTAATCACATATAAAAAAAATGTTCACAAAAAGTTTTTATACTTCTTTGCTAGTAAAGTCTTAATACTCTCCTTAAAACAACTTAAAGTATGATCTCAAGAGTTGTCTCTACCCTTTTCCTTTTGTTACAAACCTTTTTATTCAAAAACTTGACTCCTAATAACCAAAAAACTCAAGTAATACTTTTGATATCAATGGCAAGAAAGTTCTCAAAGGAAGAAAAACTAACTATAAAATATCTAAAGATTTATCTAACCTTTGAAGTGAGAGGTTTATAGAGGTTTTCTGTAATAAAAAGGTTTGTTTTCTCCCTTTTTAACTGTTTTGATCCTCTTAAAACTTTTATTTTCACAGTTTTCTGAAAAATTTTACCTAACTCAGTTTGACCTTAAATTTTGAGTAGTACAAATTATTATCAAAGGTAATTGACTAACATGTAATATATTAGTTTTTGGAATATACACAAGCTCCTATTGGTCACATTCATATGTTCTGATAATATCATTGGTGATTGAAAAGAAGGTTCCAGAAATATTTGCCTACAAAAGTCCAAGTCTCTTAATAAAAACTTCTA